GACACTACAGCATAATGACTTCACCAATGGCTTGATTTGGGTTTATTTTAAAATGTTTTAAGTCTTTTGCCTTAACAAAATGCCAAAATCTGTAACAGTTAATTCCAATTTGTCAAAAAGGTATTAAATACTTCCTGTCAAAGCAAACGCATGTATAGCTTGCCCTTGTGTGTGATACTTCAATCCTCATAGTTCAAAAGCAGCGGTTATCGTCCCAAAGGTAGTAATTTTGAAAATAAATTGTCTTAATTGCTTTCGATGCAATTTAAAGAATAACAAAACATATAACCTTCATCATAATAATAACTAAAATTCAACAAATTCAGATTTATTCGAATTGTTATATATATGTCAACCCTTATTTGGATTTTGTATTTCAATCGCTAGTACTGCTTTTGTCATCACAACAGAATCCGTCGTCAATTTTCTGGATATCGTCACATCCACATTGTAATTGTCCCTCCATTGTTACTGGACATACTATAGGCATGTTGCAACCGACGTCTAAAAAATAAATTTTTAGCAGCAGCTTTTTATTTAAAGATGCAAAATGAAACCGAGGTGTTCTTTGCTCCTACTTTATCTGATGGTGTTACATGTGAATAGGATATGTTTAAATTTTAAAATACTCGCAAAAGTGTTTGAAGTCAAATGCTTAACACTCATAGCACAAATGTAGCATCACTGTTCCTTGTCAATTAATTCTTAATTACGTCTATCGAAAACTAAAACATTGTCAGTTAAGGCCCAGACTCAATACTAAAACACAATATGTCATGAAGATAACGATCACGGAAAATGTTTCATATTGAAATAAATTTGTAAAACATTTGTTCCACGATTGTGGTAAATAATTCTATACTCTGAAGTGTTACATTTTCAAATGTTGAAAGGTTTCTTTAAAATGACATGTTTACGGAATAAACAGCAATTTCGAGTCAAATATATAAAAAATGTAGGATACTGTTAAACATTTTTTACTTATAAAATAAGGCAAACAAATATTGTAAAAAAGTGAGTATATGAGGGTTTGTGATATGTAAACAATTACTGTAAAAAAGTGAGTATAAGAGTTTTTTGTGATATGTAAACAATTATTGTAAAAAAGTGAGTATATGAGTGTTTGTGATATGTAAACAATTATTGAAAAAAGTGAGGATATGAGTGTTTCTGATATGTAAACAATTATTGTAAAAAAGTGAGTATATGAGTGTTTGTGATATCTAAACAATTATTGTAAAAAAGTGAGTATATGAGTGTTTGTGATATGTTTACGTCGTATTGCTTTGCATGTTAAAACCATCCTTCCGATCACGGACTTGTAAATATGCACACCAAACACAAACAATTATCTAAATAAGAAAAAAATGTAGTTCGCCTACCTGGCTCAACAACTGAAAATGTAAATACACACTAGTTTAGTTCATTCCACAAAACAATACATAACTTTGATCAAAATGCTTTGTGAGTACTAAAACTTAATTAAGCTTTATAAAAAATTTGAAAGAGATGTATATCAGCGTTTCAAAGGAAAACATGAAATTAAACTCTTTAAACAGAATCCCAATAATGGCTGTACAAAGTCATAATAGTTGAAAATAAAATTTGAAACAACTTACCAACTCCACAACCTTAAAAAAACACATTCAGGAATAGGAATAAACACAAGATAATTGTAGAATTAAACGACAATAGAAAACTTGCTTAACCACAAATATTATATATGTACACGGCCGATTCGTTATATAGAAACATATAATCGTTAAAAAATAATAAACGGCGGTCAAGTATTGAGAAGGTCGTGAAGACAATAAAATCAAATGTTAATTCAAATTCTAATATGACGTGCTTCTTTCGCTTTGTAAACAACAGCGTGATAAAATTCCCGATATATCTATACTTATCGCAGACTCAGAGATGTACATATTAATGGCTGTTACTATTTACCTCCCATGTAAATCCACATGTATCGTAACCTATGTGCAAACACTATGTGAATTTCGTTGTGTTAAAAAAAAAAAGGAAAAGGAAACTACTGAACTGTTATTCTTTTTCTAATGCATAACAAAAAAACAAAAAAAATAATGTATAAGATCTTTAAAAATGTATAAAATCAAAATAAAATAAAATTCCGAGAATTTTCATGAATGATCTTGGCGCATTAACATCATGTCAAAACATGACGTCATACGAATGAAAACTCTCAAGCTGAAGATTATTCCGTTACGTGTACGCTTTAAATTCGGATAATATCGCATTAAAATGTAGTTTTGAGGTAGGAGCTGTTTCATTTTCTACTCTATTGCATCATTGGATTTCAGCAACTCAACATGGCGGCTCATTCCTTAGTTACGACTTGTCAACTGTGGATTTGACAGTAAATAGTAATCAACGAAAACAAAATATTTGGGTTAGGAATTATATAGATTGAACACATTTTTGCTAGTGGTTATTTAAGAAATAATTCATGCAAAAGCCTTAGATTTATTTGAAATTTGTAGATTTTATCTTACAGGGGATAAAATAGACAGCCATACAAACGGCAATCTTACCTTCGCTTCAATTTTTCAAATTACCGTATTTGTTCTATTAGAATCGAAAATATTCACGCAAGCCTATATTTGTTATCATTTTCACATGGAATGGGCCGTTATATTCGCCAATGCTCGAGATAAAATTCGATTATAACAGCCAAGGCCATGTGAAAATTTCCAACAAATCTACGGCTTACATGAATTATTTCTTGAATCTGTGAACAAATCCATAGTAGTATCAAAATGCGGAACAAATAAGAATAACAGAAGGGTGTCTGTCAAAATTATTAAACTAGTATTACTCAATAGTACTGCGCACTTGGATAACAAGAACATGCAGAACTTTACAAGAAAACACAATCGGTCTCTCTTTGTACAGATGAAATCAGATTTTCTCTCAAAACAGATAAATTATAACAAAAATTAAACAATTTTAGATTTATTCGGATTGTCATAAAAGCTTTGATATGTCTTTGCTATACTTTGATGTAGAACTGTAAATACTACTATTTTCATCACAACAGAACCCTTCGTTAACTTTCCCGATATAATCACATCTTCAACGCGTCGCGCGGGGGACAAACAACAGATAATTATGATGATGAGAACAATAATCATACTACTAAAAATAAAACATAATATGAAAAAAAACCATACATGTAGCACATTACCACCATGGTACAGAATATAAAAAAAAACGACGCCAATAAGCATGGTAGCTGTCATTTGTTTTTTGTTCTGAAAACATGTAGGTCACTAATAGTTCAGAGAAAACTATTCAACCTTAATAGTTATATATGTTTGCGTACCCTTTCTTCCATCACATATGATTTATAATTGAAAATCCTGATTTTGATTTCAAATGATTGAAATTTGGAAAACTAAAATTAACTACTCACCTACATCTTGTTCTGTTTAAAAACAACATGCCTTTTAGTATATAATGATTTAAAACATTATATTTTTCACAAAACATTTGTTATTTACCACTTTTTGCAAAGGAGTAGAACCAGGAATTCCAACAAACGGCCCTGTAAAGGTCCATTTTTAAAACTTCAATTGGTCGAGGAAATTTACTGTGAATGTATTGCTAAATGTATTATTTTTGAAAGTATAATTAGAAAACATGTACATGTATATCTGCTTCATAGATTATCAATATATTAGCCTGAAGAAAGAGATATAGTTTTCATTTTAGTCCTTTTTTCTAGAAATCCATCATATTTTGGTTTACCTTATTTCATGATTTCATATGTGGCGCCACCTCTCGCCCATTGGAATTTTGATTGAAAAGTAAAGAATATGATATATTTAAAATATTTCAACAAAAATGTTTGTGGGCGAGGGGTGACGCCATTGTTATTTTTTCCGAAAACTGACATAAATTTCAACAAAATGCCAAAAGTCAGGCGTTCGCAAATTCCCCTACATTATGACGTCAAAAATACATCATTTAATTGGTGAAAAATATGTCATAACTGAAACAATTAGACATTTTAACATATGCGTTCACATAATTTTCACAATATCATCGCAGTTAGAAATAATTCAGGTTTCTTAGGGCCTAAATTATGAGTTAGTGAACCAACTCCTTTAGATTATGTTCTTATGAAAATATGCCAAGGTACAACGCATTTGTGGCTCTCTCATATACAAGCTGTCTGAGTAAAAGTAAACATTTATTCCGATAGAATTTTTTGAACTTTGCTCACTTTAAAAACTACGAATTAAAGTTGAATTTACCGGATATGTTTCAAAATAAGATGATGTTGAAATTAATTTGATGTTCAATTTGTGGGGCATGAAACCAAATATGGAAAGTCGAAAGTATCCAACTCAATATAATAATATTTATATAGAGTCCTAAAACAAGCGACGTAATTCTTGTTTATCGGAAGAAGCCACTTTTGATTAAACATAAATTCAAACAGAAAGTGTCCATAGTATAAGCATTTAAGTAATAGTATAATGTCAGTATAAAACCATTGGCTACCAGACTAGTGATGTCATAGACTTTCGATCCATCAGAGGTGCTGAGACCAATGATTACAAGAAACAAAAATCTTTTTATGAACCGTTCCATAACATTTTTTTTATCTTGTACATGGAATTACAGATTTACTGATCTTCACCTTATTAGCTGCATGATTGTACAAGAGTAGCACGATGGGTGTCATTGTGAAGCAAGAACTGATGAAACAAGTAAACCTCAAGTTGTTATAGTGTTCAAGTTGGTTAATCATTTGATCTCTTTGTAGATTTTTGTTGACTTTTTTTTTTCCTTCTTTGATTTATAAGTTTTATATTCCTTTGGTATCTTTTAACTTTTTATTTAGTACAAATGTAGTTTAAACATTGGTAACACCATATGCAGAAACTGTAATACGAATGTTTTGTCTAATTGAATATGAACTCTATTTTTGGATAATAATGATTTATTTCTCTTACCTACAAGGGTGAGTGGTGTTTTCAGATCAGTACCAATACAAACGTCACACACATGTGGATAATCACGGAATGTTTCTTATAATTATATGAAAAGAAATGTAATTACTCATAAAATTCTATTAAGGTAATCTTTTGTAGAGTACATGATTAAAAGCTCAATGTTATTGTCTATAAGTATATATGTAAAAGTAAAATAACAAAAATACTGAACTCCAAGGGAAATTCAAAACGGAAAGTCCTTTCAAAAAGTGGCAAAATCAAAATCTCAAACACATCAAACGAATGGAAAACAACTGTCATATTCCTGACTTGTTAACACATGTACAAATTAGCACACTGTTTTTATATTAGAAAATATTGAAAAGGTTACAAGACCATCTACCTTCATCATATTATAATATGACTGTTCTTTAGCAGTGTTGCTTACATCACATGTTTAGAACTTTATAATAGCACAAGGACTTAGTCTTTCGTGAGTGGTATCGACAAAATTATGTATGGGTGATATCGTTTGGGTATTAGCTATTTAATCAAACATATATTTACTCATTGGAAATGCTAATTCCATATTTTATAAAATAGTTATGTAAAACTCAGGATGGGGTGGTATTGTCGATGAGACAACTATCCACCAGTGATCAAAGGACGAGGATGTATACAACTATTATATAATACTTATCTATTTACCACAAGGTTTCGGTAAGATCAATATATCATCATGTTTAAATCTTCTTGTGAATAATAATGACAGAATCACTGAAACTTGTATATTTTTTTTGTTTTTTGTTAATTATTTAACATGTTACACCGATATTTTAAATAATAATAGGTTGTACGATGACTTAGAGAGATCACTGTATTTCGTTTGATTTTTTTTAGAAAAGGGTGATTTTGGTTTTTTTACATTTATTTTATCAATTTGTACTTTCTGCAATTTAACAGTTCACTATAACGCTTACTCCAGGGTGATACGATCAATGTTTCGGCAAAAAAAGGTTTATCATCTCTCTCATCTTTTCTACATTGGTATTGCGAATGTGTGTTGTTTCCTTGGATTTCACGTCTACAATAAAACAGCTGATTATTAATACATACAGCTATTCTGTGCTATTTCATTTGTTAGTGTGTGTTTTGAGTTTTCTCTATACCGGTAGTAGTCTCGGTCCTGTTTATTTATTTAAAAAACAACAACAAAAACAAAACAAACAAAAAAACAAACACGTTTTCCTTTCAAACTTTTACACTCGGTAAAGTTTTAGGGTAAAAAAAGCTATATGTACCGATAATTTATGAATTTTGTGATGAACTATTATTAAACAAGAGACATTTGTAACAATTGTTAGTTGGCCAGTCACTGGGAATAAGTCATGTGTTTTTTAAATACCTAAGTAAAAAGACTGGCGTCACATTTGGAACAGGAACTGTTGACACTGTCGGAGATCATGAGAAAACTTTATGTATATATCTTAATTAGATCTTTGACTGTTTTGGCTGAACTGCTACATGCAAGATAATTTTTGTAATAATGTTAAGTGCATGTTAATGTCCTTTTTGCTTTGAAAGTTCTCTGGTCCCGAGCGTATTTGTGGAAGATTCCGAAGAGACTTCATTTGTGCTTCTCATCGTTTAAAGTAAAGTTAAATCGTTTTAGCCTTGCATATTGATGCGGTTTTTTTTAAACGCGAAGAAAATTGAAATCTTAATGGATAGTGTGCACTTAAATGTGATGCCAGAATGAACTCTTGCTTCTGCTAAAAAAAAAATTAACCAGATTTTCATAAAACATCACAAAGTATTATTTACCGAAGAACAACGAAACTTCCAGATCTTACAAAACATTCAAAAGTTGCTATTATTATGCCTCTATTTCTTATAACAATTACTGTCGGGTCATCACTGCTCGTTGTTGCTCGATTCCCAGAATTAGGGACGACTGTTCTACGTGATATGCCTTGCCAGCTGCACTTTATAGCACATGAACCTTTGTAGTTAACTGGCGAATCTAACAGAAAAATAATAGTAAAGTGAGGATAATAATAACAAATATATATTATATTAAGTGTTAGTATCAGATTAGTTATGGTATCTCACTGTAGAACGAACTTGTTTCCATATAGCTAGACATTGAAGATTCTTAATTTATATATAAGTCTAGATATCGTTTAAGTAGAACGATTTTGTATAAAATTACTTAATGTTGCATACGATTTTCAACAAGAATCATAAACAATATTTGTAGGAAGAATCCAATCTTTTTCGTTGTGTGATATGTCTGATGGCAGGAGCACGTTAAACATCCAATACAGCGTGTCTTATGTGGCAAATTAAATTATATGCTGTGGTTTTATAGTTAAAAATGCTATAAGTTTTTAATTAAAATTAATTTAATTTGGTTTCATTAATCATATACTGTGTGTGGCAAACCCTCCATCTAACCTAGGACAGTGGTGTAACAGTACAACATAAGAACAAACTGTTAAAATCAGTTGAAAAAGGCTTAACTCATCAGATCGATACAAAGCAGTAAACATCTAACAAACAAAAACAGACCGAACGTGGCAGGGTATTTATACATCACCACAATTAAAAAGATAATAAGTACAGATCTGAGAGTACTCGCAGTTACTGACAGCTAGATCAAAGCCAATAACTATAATACAACATCATGCATCTAAGACTTAATTATAAACCAGGACACATCTAAGATCCAATTGATTTAGTGTAAAGACGTCATTAACAGTCAGAGAAAAACATGACCTTGTGCAATGCCAAGATACAGGTATCGACAGATTGTAGAGCCACGAACGTGCATATGTTTATAACAATAACATTAATTCAGTGTTGATTTGGTAACCTTTTAGAATAAGTTTATTTAAAGGATTGATATGTTTACCCGATTCTTATCTACATGTATGGGCTCGGTAAACAACATCTTAAAATTATGATTCGCTATCCCGTTTAAAATAAGGTACAGCCACACTTCCTAACATAAATATTTGAATATGTGGAAGAATTCAGTAAAGGTTTTAAGTAATTTGTGGTAACGAAATCCCTGACTTCATAATTTACCAGTAAAACATTTCATTGAAATCAGAAACTTCACTACAGACACGGGCATAGCGAACAAATTGTGATATATAAATACCGTAAGATGGTGTCAAGAGAAACATCGACGTCCAGAATAGGAAAATTATCAATAGGGAACGAAAAATCGTCCCTTTTGTCGTAAATTTTGGTGTAGAGTGTAAAACTGAAATATCTCAATCTAAGAAATGACAGTTATTACCGTTTATATTTGATTTATTTAAAGTAAGTTCCTTTGGGTAAATTTCGGCAGTATCTTTCGAAAATTCTTGATTATTTAACGAAAAATATCATCAAGATGACGGTAAGTGTTGTTGATTTTACCATTAAATGCAGTTTAGGCGGGTCTTTACTGTGATTCATGGTGCCCATAGGAATACCTACAACCTGTCGATAATTAGTTATCAAAGGTATCAGGCTTATAATTTAATACGCCAGACGCGCGTTTCGTCTACATAAGACTCATCAGTGACGCTCAGTTCAAAATAGTTGGAAAGCCAAACAAGTACAAAGTTGAAGAGCATTTATGACCCAAAATTCCAAAAAGTTGTGCCAAATACGGTTAAGGTCATCTATGCCTGGGATAAGAAAATACTTAATATTTCGAATAATTCATACTTTTGCAAACAGTAAATTTATAAAAATGACCATATAATTGATATTCATGTCAACACCGAAGTGCTGACTACTGGGCTGGTGATACCCTGTATTGCCGAAACGTACAAAAAGTTATCAAGGAGAAAATTAATAACTTCAATCATTTCATCACGCCCCCAGTAAGCTGTCTGCAGTCGTTTAATCCAAGACAGTTCGATAATTTTTCGAGAATCTTCAAATTGTTTATGCAATTACCCTTGTTGTTTCTTGATCGTTTCGATATTTGGAATTTTATAAATGTAATATTGTGATTGTGTTTTCCTAAATGTTGGTAAATTATACTATTGCATTTCTTAGGTTTTCGAAAGCGGTATAGATGTTCCTTTGTTCGTCTATATATAGTTAAAATATTATAACATCAGTGTAAAATGTTTATTTTTTATTCGAAAACTACATAAAAAAGGAAATGTTGTTTCTAATTGTATAATCTCTTAAAGATAAGTTATTTATAATTAACCAAGGGTAAACAAAATGAACTTTTTACAACAAATATTTGTTACGAAGTTTATCCACCTCAAACTAGTCTTACTAAATATAGCATTTAAATTAACCTCGTCTCTTCTTCTAGTCTATGTATTCTTTCGATAGTCTTTCCAAAGGAGTAAAAGGAAAGAGCGTCAGAACAATGTTATCGAACTTGGTGATGGGATTTCAAGGGGAGGGAGATGTTTGGAAACAAAATCATATCTTAAATTTTATTTAACATGACGTATTTACCTAACAAGCGTAATTCCTCTTAAGGGACTCGCGGGTTTAAATTTGCTCGCCTACTGCGCAGGATGTTGTACAATGATATCATATGTCATACCTATTGTTGTAGTTGGCTATAACAATTATTTTTTTTATTATAAATAATCTATTTTATTTGAATTTATTACCAAAGATTTTTGTAATTGAAAACTGTAATTTAAAAATTTTATAAAAGTTATTATTGCAATTTTCATTGTTGGAAATGCACTTCCGTTTAAGAAAAAATGGCATGTGTTCTTGTAGATGAAAAGAAAAAGACGAGATAATTCATAATAATCGAGCACGTGGGCTGCTTTTCATGAATACTGAAACGCAGATTGAAAATAAAATATTACGATCTTCGTTTAAGTAGCTTATTAAGCAGTTTCACACTTGTTTTTCACTAGAAAAAGACAGGAAATATGCGTAAGATGTATGTAATCATTTGTAAACAAACGGGATATATACTGTAATGTTAGTATTTTACATCGTCTGCACAAGCAGTGCAAAAAGAGTGATTCACGAACACAAAATGATTTGAAAGTGCAAGATATCATTTTCAGCTAAATTTGTGAACAAACAAAACAGTGACGCTCCTAAGTCTGAATTAAATCCATAGTTCAATGACAATGTATTTTAACAAATTATTTGCAGACCTTAGATATGCTTATTGTACATTTATATGTGGACCTGAGAGTCCAGCCTGGAGTAGGTGTTGTTTATAAAAGACACCATAATTAATGACCATTTGATTTTGTGGGGAAAGGGCAGGAGATGTTTTTGCAAACAGAATTTTCATTAACTCAGTTGTTAGTCTATTTTTTTTAATATGAGTTGTTTTGTTTCCCGTTTTCACACATGGTGTAACTCACTAATTCCTGTTTGTACTGGGTAATTTCGCCGGGATTTTATCTACTAAAATTAAGAAATTGGTAAAGAAAATGAACTCGTAAAACATTTTATGTACATACCCTGTAATATTGTACATATTTTGAGTTAGAGCTGGTAGACAATTCCATGATTTTAATATAGTTTTCTTAAAAATTGAACACTATACTGAACTGTAAAAATCTTAGTGACAAAGCTTCATGACAATACAATGTATGTTATAGACAATATGGCTATTTTTATATTTTAACTTTGGGTGCTCTTATTTACATCTAATCAAAAAAATTCAGCTATCAAGATTTGGGATTAATACAATTAAATACTGCAAAAATTTGCTCTTTAAATGCCCTAATATTTAATGTAGCATTCAACTGAACAATCATTCAAGATTTATTACAATTATTCAAAATTTAAATTCATTGGAGTCTGTACCTGAAAATAGAGATTTTCAAATGAAGTTGACTTCACATGAAAATGTAATTTTTTCTACCAATTTAAAATTCCTAGGTTTTTCAGTTTAAATGATTCTTCCACATATATTAAATGTACCTCATACGGAAAACATAATTACAAGTATCATTCCACATGTGTATAAAATAGTCTTGGAATATGTATGATTGAAAATCCTTTTGGATCAATTTTGGCAATAACACATATTTACACATTAAAATGCATACAAAAGCTACATTGTATAGGAAATAGAATTGTTTTACTTTTTGCTCGTTTCTTAACTAAGATGTCATGATACAAGAAGTACAATACATGTATATGCTGATGCAGAGTTTTTTCACTTTTAACGGAAAACTTGCATGTAATTTTAGTCCCAATAGACACAAATCTCAAAAATCACTGTTTTTAGCATAAAATACTTGTTTGCCCTTAAAATTCTAGTCCGAAATTCCCCAATAATAAACAGACGTCTATATTGACCGTATTGAAATGCTTATTATGCTATGATAAGACTTTGATAAGACTTAGTGAGCAATTGGGGTTCTTTGATAAGCTGAATCTAAATGTGTATTTAGACATTTGATTTTGGGCACAGTTTTCAAATTAGTCCATATTAAGGTCCAAAGGGTCAAAATTAAACTTAGTTTTATTTTAACAAAAATTGAATTCTTTGATATGCTGAATCTAACCGTGTATTTCATTTCACAGAAACCTATAGTGATATATCACAACTACAATATTTTTGCATACTACCACACAATTCAACAACAATTGCATCACTGTAACTTACACTTAATGGTGGGACATCCTGTGTATTATAGTCACATTTTCTAGTTAAATACAAATCTAATACACTATTGAACCTGAAGTTTTTTTATGTATGTAATTTCAAAAGCATAAAATGGATATCTTGACAGATGTGAAAAATAGATGTTTACTCAATACTGCATGCATGGTTTCGTTGCTTCCATTGTTGAAGGCCACAGTAGTGGTTTTGTGGTGAATAGTGTGTTTTAATTGGCTGGTGTATCATGTTCAACTATCTCATGTATTAATTTTTATACACAAGCAAGAGTACTCCTATGGGATGAAAGAAGAATTTGTCTATCTCCAACTAAGTTATTAGTGGCTCCTCTCATAATTCATTATCCAACAAATATAGAAGCTGTCGTGTGTGTTATA